GCCGGCGCTGGCGGGCGCGGTGGCGCGGGCGGCGGGGCGTGTACAAGCGGCGTATGCGGTGTGGAGGTGAGGCTCGGGGCTTGGTGCGTGGGAGGTTTGCGGGAGGTTGAGCAGGCGCCCAGTGGCGCTGTGCTGACGGCACGGCAGCAACCAGCGCATGTTGTCTCAGCAGCACGCCGTTGCCACCCGCCTGCAGGCCAGCGGATGCTGTGGCGTGGGCTGCGGCGACGGGCGCCACGGGCGCGCCTGCGCTGGTGTTTTTTCTGGGCCAGGAGCAGCCACCGGTGGTGGTGCAGGGAGACAGCATCAGCTTTGCGGCCGAGGTGGAGCATCACAGCTGGCAGGCGGTGCCGCCCTTGCACGCGGCCTCCGCGCACCAGCTGCCCGCCTGCCAGCCCGGCATGGGCGCCGATGGCGCCGCCAGCTCAGCGCCAGGGGCGCCGCCCGAGGCGCTGTGCGTGCTGCTGCTGGCGCGAGGCGGGCGGCAGGCTCTGGCTGAGGCCCGAGGGCAGCTGGAAGCGCTGCACGAGCAGCTTGTGGGGCACGGCGCCAGGCGGCATGCCGCCCCCGAGATGCGCCAGGCTGCCCGCGCGCTGTCTGGCGGCAGGCTGCAGCTGGCGTGGGCGCACGCGGCGCAGCAGGCGGAGCTGTGCCGCCACCTGCTGCGCTGGTCGCAGGGCGCCGTCGCCGCCGCCTGCCTGTGCGGGCCCTGGTGGCAGCGCCTGCCGCTGGCGGCGCTCAGGCAGTGCAGCGTGCGGCAGCCGCCGCCGGCGCTGGTGGCTTACCGGCACCAGCAGCGGCAGCGGCAGTCGGGGGGTCGCTTCGGCGGCGGCAGCAGCAGGCGCACGAGCCAGCTGCTGGTTGCCTCATACCCAGGCAGCTTGGTGGAGCCTCAGCAGCTGGCGGCCTGGCTGGCGGCGGCGGCGGCGGCGGCGGCGGCGGGCGGCGACACCGGCGGCCCCTCGCGGCAGCAGGTGCTGCAGCTTGTGCCTCCCTTTTCCGAACAGCTGGCAGAGGAGGGCTCCTGGCACGGCGGCGAAGCGCTGCTGCTGAGCGCGCTGCATTGCGCCAGCCAGGCGGAGCTGGCGTGGCGGCGGGTGGCTGCGGCGGCCGGCGCGGCGCTGGGCTTTGCCAGCTGGCGGCAGGCGCTGGCGGTGGGGCTGCTGGGCTTCGTGGCGCACGGCCTGAAGCGCCTGCTGGACTCTCTGAGTCGAGAAGGTGGGTGGCTGGGTGGGAGGGCGGCGTTGGATGGGGCGCCTCCCGTTGGCAGCTGACTAGAGGAGCACATAGCAACAGGCCGTGTGCCCACACTGCATCCTGCCCGGTTTTTCGCACTGCCTGCGCCTGACCCCGCCCATGCCCTCGCAATGCGCCTGCCCCTGCCTTGCGCAGACGACGAGGGCGGAGGGAGCAGCCCCCGCAAGGCGCCTGCCAGTCACGGTTGGGGAGGCATCGGCAGGAGGAGGGACAGCAGCGGGGTGCGGGAGAAGAGCGGCGGCAGCACAGGCGCCGCGGTGCGCGAGATGCGGCACTCCGACTGGGATCCAAGCCCGGGCCGGTTCCTGGTGCTGCTGCCGCTGCCTGGAGGCGGCAGAGGAGGCAGCGCGCAGGAGCAGGCAGCCGCAGCAGCAGCCGCAGCAGCAGCAGAGCAGCGATTTGGGGAGGTAGCGGCTGCTTTCTGCAGGGAGCGGCGGCTGGCGTTCAGGGTTGCCCCCGTTTCTGACGCCCTCAGCGCGCTGCTCCATGCCGCCGGCGCCAGCCAGGCGTCCGAACCAGGCCAGCAGCGGCAGCCGGCGGCCCTGGTGCTGCACCCGCGGCGTTCCCACTTCCAGCTGGTGCAGCTGGGCGAGGCACAGGCGGCGGTGCTGCGGCTCGAGACGCTCCTGGATGGCGGCGGGGAGTGGCGGCAGGCGACGTAGCGCATCCCCACATTGCTGCTGAGATCCAACTGAAATATATGCTATTGTATGTCGAACCTAGTGAGTGAAGCAGATCAGCAGGGGGCGGAGCCTAGGGCAAGGCGCTGGCGCTTGGCGCGCCATGGCGCCAGAGTGGCAGCCGGCTGTGACAAGCGCCTCGCTTCTGACCCGTACCCTGCCATCGTTCCTCCTCGCTGGGCAGCGTCTCTTCAGGCTGGGCAGCAACAAGCGGACGGGAGTGCCACTGCCATTTGCCTCAGTGTCTCGGCAGCGGCGCCTGGCCAGGAAACGCTGTTTGTCTGTGCAGTAGAGGCCTGCCGATATCAGCACCGCAACGAGCCGCTCCCTGCAGCTCCACGCCGACACTGGACAAACCTGGCACCGGTGCGCGCACGTGCGGTCTGCAAGTGCCCAAGAGCGTGAGGGACGCCTGAGGTAGCGATGGGGCTGAAGGATCGTTTCAAAGCCCTGGTCGGCCTGGGCAGCGGCGGCGGCAGCGGCAAGGTGCGCGCCGGCCGCGTGCACTGCGCCGCGGGCGTTGGCTGCCTGTGGGCCTGCCGCTTGGAGCTTATGCTGTGCATTGGTCTGCTCATATGCGCGTCCACACCCCGGGATCGCTGCAAGCCTCATGCCGTGCCGCTCGCCCCCTGGCCGCGCCGCGTGACCCTCCACACCCTGCGTCTGCCTCCATCTCCGTCCGCGCAGGGCAAGGTGCTGCTGCGTGTGGCCAAGCTGCCCTCCCGCATCTTCGTGGACGGCTCCATGGCCCTCCAGGGGCTGGCGGTGGAGGGCCTGTACGGCATGGCACGACTGACGGTGCACGAGGCGGAGCTGTGGCTGGCGCCCGCCCCCGCCGCGGGCAGCGCCGACGCCGTGGCGCACCCCTACAACACCCGTGCCAAGTACTATGCCGTGGTCAGCCTGGGCAGGCAGACCTTTGCCAGCCGCCGCGTGCGCGCGGCGGCAGGCGGTGGCAGCAGCAGCGGCGGCGGCGGCGGCGGCGGCGACGGCGGGGCCGCCAGGTTTCTGTGGGACGCCGGCGCCGCGGTGGTGCTGCAGCGGTCTGGCGCCACCGTGGCGCAGCTGGCCATCTACCGGGCGGGGCGGGTGGACGGCGCTCTGGGAGACAAGCTGCAGGTGGGCGGCAGGCATGAGGCTGGCGAGGCTGGTAGCGCGTTTGCTTTGGTTTGGGTGGGTGGGTGACAGAGAGGAGGCGCTTCTTAAGAGGGTGGAGGCTGGTCATGGCGCGGGGTGCTGCAGCTGTGGCGCGCCCCCATCCCGTCTGCCTGCCCGCTTGGCCGGGCCTACCTTCGCTGCTGCCTGACCCATCCCCCTGCCTGCCCGCCTGCCTGGGCGTGCAGTGCTGGTGCCAGCTGGACCTGGCTGGCTACTTTGGAGGCGCTTCGGAAGAGGAAGAGGCGGCAGCGGGAGAGGCAGGCGGCGGCGGCTCGCCGGAAGCTGCGCCCGGCGGCGAGCCTCCCGCTCCGCCTCCTGCCCTGCTTCGCACCGAGGCCCTCGGCAGCGGCGACAGCAGCGCCACGCTGCACAGCAGCAGCGGCGGCACAGCAGAGCCAGAGGCGGGGGCCTCGCACGCGGCGCCGCGCGGCGACGGCGGCGAGCAGCCCGGCGGCGGCGCCTCGCAGGCGGCGGCGCCGCGGGAGGCAGCCGCCTCCGAGGCGGGCGGCGGCGCCGGGGAGGCTGTGCTGCAGGATGTCTGGCTGCCTCTGGTGGATCCGGGGGATGCTGCCCTGGTCCGCGGCAGGGTGCGGGTGTCGGTACGTGCGGTGAGCCCAGCAGGGCTGGAGTGCCAGCTGTGGCGCCGCCTGCTGCCGCTGGCAGATCTGGACGGCGACGGCAGCCTGACTGAGGAGGAGTTCGCCGGGCTCATGGAGGTGAGGTGGGGTGAGGTGAGGTGGGGTGGGGTGAGGTGAGGTGGGGCTGGGGCGGCCCGGCAGCTGCGCCCCCGCCGGTCCCGCCGCCCGGCCCGCTGGTTGCCGCCGGCAGCGGTGCCGCCGCGCGTGTCGTCGCGCCGCGGCGTGGGCGCCCACCCCCTTTGCCCCTTTGGCCCCTGTAGCCAAGCCACCGCCGTGCAGGGCAGGGCTGCTGCCGTGCAGGGCTGCTCTGCCGTGCGCGGGCCATGCCTTTCCGGCCACCCGGCGCCACCACCACCACCACCCTGCCCTCTGCCATGCGCACCCCCCTGCCGCCCTCCCCACACCCGGCCGCAGGCCATGGGCGCCGAGCTGTCTCCCCAGGAGGTGGTGGCTCTCTTCCGCCAGGCAGACGCCAACTCCGACGGTACCGTGGATGCCCAAGAGCTGGCGGCGGCGCTGGCGGCGTGCCACAAGGAGGGAGAGTTCCACAGGCGGGTGGAAGCTGGCCGGTAGCTGCACATACACACATGTAGACCTGTCTGTGGGAGAGTCTCCTCGGCACCACGCATGCACGCACGCATGAACGCATGGTGAGCAGTGGCTCCCAGTGCTGCCGCCGCCGCCACTGCCGCGCAGGCTGATGCGGCGGTGCCCCGTGGACGGCGCGCAGCTGCTGCCCAACGACGACCTGGCCAACATCATGTGAGAGGGAGGGAGAGAGAGTGTGTGTGTGTCTGTGTGTGTGTGTGTGCATCCTGCATCCTAGAACCTGCGGCCCCTAGCGCCCGCCTGCCGCCATCTGGACCCGCCTGCCGCAGCCTGCCTCGTGGCCGCTCCGCCGGCTGCCCTGCCATTTCGCTGCGATGCCGACTGCTACCCTTGCGCTGCCTCCGCCTCATCCTCGCCACCCTGCGTGGCTGTTCCCTGCCCTGCGCTGCGCAGCTACGTCACGCTCGCCCTGGATGAAGGCACGGGGGAGAGCCTGAAGGCGAGCCTGCCCCTGCCTGCCTGCCTGCCTGCCTGCCTGCCTGCCTGCCTGCCTGCCTGCCTGGGCTGCTTGTGCTGCTTGGCGTCCGGCTGCTCGCCAGCTGCTGGCGCCCACCTGCCTCACTGGAGCCGCCTCCCGCCTCCAGCGCCTGCCCCCACTCCCCTGCATGGTGCCTGCACTGCGCCCACCTCATGGCTGGAAAGCGCGCCTCCTGTGCAGGGCGGCTACACCACCCCGCAGCAGGTCTCCCGCTCCTGGCTGCTCAGCATGACGGAGTGGGCCACCCAGCCGCTGCTGGGCAGTACCGCCGCGCTGTGGCGGGGCAACGAGTACCGTGCGGGGGGCCTGCGGCAGGGCGCCGCCGCCGCCCACATCCTGGTGTTTGACCGGTGAGGCGGGTGGGGGCCTGCCTGGGCGGGTGGGGGAGGGCTGCCGGGGACCCTCCTGCTCCTCCCTGCCCCCGGCTGCCAACCCCAGCACCTGCATGCCTGCATGCCTGCATTGCTCCCACTACATGTCCGCCTAACCCTCCCCAGCTCAGCCCGACACCTCCCCCCGCAGTGACTCACCTTGCTGGTCTCCTTTCTCCCTTTCCTTTCCTGCGCCGCAGGGCCACGAAGCGGGTGGTGGAGGAGGCTGTGTCTCCGGGCCTCATGCTGGCCATGCGGGCGATGTACCAGACCTCGGAAGGGGCGCTGCTGCTGCGGGAGGGCACCTGCCGCAAGCTGAAGCAGATGTCAGGTGGGTGGCAGGGCGGGCTGCGGGGCATACGGCGGCGGCGGAGCGTGACTGGGTGGGCAGTGAGGGGGCCGGAACAGACGGCGCCTGCCTGGGTGCGGCAGGGGGTGGCACGCTGCCGGTGGGGAGGCCCGTCCGGTGGGCGGGGCGCTGCACCGTCAAGTGCCCACACCTCATGCGTGTGTTTGTGCGTGTGTGCGTGTGTGCGTGTGTGCGTGTGTGCGTGCATCGCCTGCGCCGGGCAGAGAAGTACGGCGCCCGCGCCGACAGCCCGGAGAGCGCCGCAGACATTCCCAAGTTCCTGGCTGCCTTCCGGGGGCAGATCGACATGAAGGTGAGGGAGGGCCCTCAAGCCAACCTGGTGTGCTGCTCGCCTGCCCCGGCACCGCTGCGCAGCCTGCCCCTACTGCTGCCGCCGGCGCTGTGCCTGCTGCCGCCTGCTCCTTGCTGCTGCTCACTTCCTCCTGCCTGCCCCCCGCGCCCTGACCGCTGCCCTCTGCCCTCTTCTGCTCCCTGATCCTGCTCGCCCCCCTGTTGCCCCGCCTGCCCTGCCTGCCTGCCCTGCCTGCAGGAGTATGTGCAGACCGACCCAGCAGCCTACCACTGCTTCAACGACTTCTTCTATCGGTGCGCTGGTGCCACGCCGAGTGGTGTGGTTTGCTTGGTCTGCGTGCGTTCCTTCCCACGATTGCTGCCCCAATGGGCGCGCCAGTGCTGCAAATTCGCAGCTGTCACCACCTGCCAGCCGCGCAGCTGGCTGTCGCGGCTCGTCTCCTGCTCCAAGCGCTGCCCGGATGTGCTGCCTCTCGCCTGGCCTGACGTGGCCTGCCTGCAGTAAGATCAAGCCTGAGGCACGGCCCATCGCAGCGCCGACGACCC